AAAAAATCAAAGGATTGAAAGGGTCAGACCCATACGAGCATACAAAGTGGAGTAAGGACGTTAGTGTGCTGCCCAACTTCCATCACGCACATATTTATTATTATATGGTCCTAAGTTTTAGTGCGTACACTCACAAAATGTTTAGTAACTTCCGATCCCTGCAACAAGCCCAGGTCCAGTTTACTTTGGTGATTTCACAGCTGTTTATCTCCTGTACAGGCCAACGCAATCTATTTGTCTTTTTTCTTACTTCGGAAACATGGCTTAAACAATTTCTCTTCCACGACGTAATCCGATAAAAAAAACGATCTCTTTACCCGTCGGCTTCCCGTGGCTATCATGCGACCAGCTATTGCAGTTAATCATACAACAGCTTCTTGCCATTATTTGTGTTTCTTTTTATCAATGTGTGACTGTTTTCATGTGAAAGCCTGCGTGCGCTAGTACCGCTTGCCACTCGTACCCACAATCCTTTGCGCTTTTACCCCTGATTGACGTCACATTTTCGATCAAACCACAGCAGAGAGGGCAGAAAGTGACGTATCAGGAAGTGTAATGAAAGGAAGTAGATGGCGCGAGAGATGAAGATGTTCATGACAGAGCGGAAATAAGGTGAAAAATAGGCAAAAACAGCCAAAGCGAAAGTAAACCTGTAACGTGGAGGAAACGGACAGTGAGGGCAGTGTAACCTTGACAACGAGACACGAGGACGGATTTAAAGTGATCATAAAGTCGTCTCCAGACGGTCGTCGTTCGGTGAGTGGAACCAGATTCAGCTACAACAGCGATAAATACGCCTGTAGGGAGATGAAGAGTGCTAAAATACTGAGAAACGGATCTCCGATGAACACTTGTAGGGATGTGGTTCATCAAGGTACACAGGACTGAATTAAATAAGTGTAAGGGAGGTGTAGTGTGGGGAAAGTGTCCAAGCAGCAGGTTGAACCCGAGTCAGAGAGCACAGAAAATAACAACAGATGTGGTGGAAACTGGCAAGATGGTGATACAGGAAGATGTTCTGACTGTGAGCAAGAAATAATTAATATTGTTTATGATCGAAGGGACAAAGAGCTCAGCACAGACAAGAAAATGATTATTGTGAAATCAGCTGAGAAATGTTAAAGGACTACGTGGTGAAACAGTGGAAGAAACGTTAAAGGGAGAAACTCCCATTTTTAGTCATGGCTGGTGGATCTTCGTGATATTTGCCTTTTTAACGTGCAAACCAAGAAACCTTGTAGCCAGTGGTAAATAAAAATAAACAAACATCTCAAATTTGTTGGACAAGCTTCGTGAGATATATTTTATAAAATATGGTTGAAACCACAGTAGGATTTTCTTGTATATGGGTGTACAGCCATCAGGAATTATGGGGAGACTGAGAGAGGTGGAGGTTAGGTCTGCAACTAAAGATTATATCAGCAGTTGACTAATCTGCCAATATCCCTTTGATTAGTCAGCGATTATTTCAGTAACTTAGTAATCAGTAATCTTATCTTTTACATGATGTTTCCAGCTGCAGCTGATAACCATACTAAACATGCTCTCTGTCATGACTTCAGCCATTTGAGAGGTGCATCAGCCCTTTTTTCAGAACAAACTCATCATCATCATCGCCTGTGCCTAATACAGTTAAAACAGAACAAAACAGAATCAGACTGTTACTAATCACAAATTTGGTTGTTAATAATTTTTTTTCAGACACTGCCCCCAAAGCTTCCTGTAGTGTGTAGCAGTTATAAAAACACATTTACG